AGCTGGAAGAGCCCTGCAGTAAAAATGGCCTTGGCATATATGCTTGGGCTTAAATCACCATAATGGACCTGGATGTGACAGTCATAGGCTAGAAAAATGAAACCATCCGCCCTCATAATCCCATAACCATTACAGGGATTGCAACAAAACTGAATGGATACACATTTTAGTTGAACCCCCCCCCCCAAAAAAAACAGTGCTTACATCATACTGTTTTGTTAGAAACTGACAATCTGGGCCTCTTCAGAAGTCTTGCCTGAGTAATTATCTGTGTTAGAAGTGATGTAGGAAAATTGTCTCATAGGTCATGTGCCTTTGACCTATAGAAACTGTTATTGGCCACAGGTTTTGAATTAGCTACACATGTGGGTAAAGATACAGTACCCATGGTGGAGCTCTTATCACAACTCACACTGTCAGCAAAAGCAGTCGAAGAGAAAACAGAGTGCAGTGATAGATCATTAGCTAGAAAAACACTGTTCAGATATTTCAGCCCTGTAGAGCTGTTTTCAATCTAGACTACAATAAACAGTAGAGAGCATTATCGTACTTTTATGATTTTGTTTTTCCTCCGAGTTAGTCTTATCTTTTTCTTTCTATATTATATGTTTTTTTCTCAACATATTTCTTCTTTCTAAAAAGCATATGGCCTCTTGAGTTGACTTTAACTGCACAGTTGCAGGATATGCAGCACTAAGTGGGCAGCAGTAGTTTGAAGTGGTGTATTAATCTCACTTATCATATCAAAGAAACGGTCTGAGGAGCAGAAAAAAAAGAGCTTTATCTTGTCTTTGGCATGTAAATAAGAGTGAAAAAAAAAGAGCCAACTTCACGCTGTTCCTTCCTGATTTTTTAACACACGATCTTAGTCAATGTCCGTGTGACAATGACGGCTCTGCTTCTTTAGTTTACAAGCCAGACATGTATGCTACTTCCCATTCATAAGAGGAATCTCTGAAAAAAGCCAGTAGCTAAACATACAGCGGTGTCCAGACATGCCTAAGATAGCTCCAAGCAGTTCTCCATTGTGAGCCCAGAAGTATGCACCTCCATGCATCTATACACTAACAAAGGAAAAGGAGAAGTGGGGAAGTGTGTACAACTTGTGCGTGTGTGCTACACTAATGCCAAAGGATGGATCTGACCGCAGCCATTCACAACTTGCCTTCATTAACCGCAGACTTCTTCATTTAACACAGTCACCATTCACGTTCGACCGAAAAAAAAGAATCTAAAGAGGTGACTAGTAACCACGTCTGTGGCTGCGGTAGCTGCCACTTATGCTGCAGGATTAAACATGGCTGAGTAATAAACTTGTATCAACAGAGTGCACACAAATGAGTGTTTACAGCTATTAAAAGCAGCCTGAATCAAGTTATGGCTCATAGAAAAACTTAGAAAATAGATAATAATAGTGTAGGGAACTCAAGATGCCAGTGTGCACATTTCCCCGGATATGTCAAACATGAATTATACGTTGTAAAAGGAGAGGATTAAGTGTGCAGCTTTGAGGGAAAAGCTTCGGTTTGCAGCCTTGAATTTTATGTATCACAAAGATTCACCTGGAGTGAGCTACACTTCTCTGGGTTTACATGTCTTGTTAGTGTCCGTGTCCATATTATTATCTGCCTCAAGCTCCCTGTTTTTTCCCCAAATGGTAGCATTCCTGATGTCTAGACAAACAAATATGACAGGACTAAGCCCAGAGCTTGGAAAGCCTTAGATGTGATTATTTATACATGTCAACTTTTGGTCTATCTTTTACATGTAAATCTTTTATGGAGAGTTCTAAGAAATGTATTCCGACCATGCCAAGATGTAGCCTGACTCCTGGGCCAAACCACTGGCAGTAAATATTATAGAAGCTGGCATTAAGTACAGCACTCATGCTGCAAAACCCACTCTTGTCATTTATTATATCATCAGCAGCGTTGGCAAAGATTTCCAGTCCCTTTACAGTGATGCACCACACTGAAGCAATGCACTAATAGCAGAAAACAAGAGGAGAAAAACAGTGAAGTCTGAGCTCCTGATCTGGATTTTGGGCTCATGATGACGTGCAAGTGCGTCGCTCACTTTGAGGAATGACAAAATGAGAGGAAAAGAGCGAAACAAAACACAACAGAAACAACTCAATTTGAGTGAATGCAAAAGCAGCATGTTTCTGTTTACAAGGACACGAGAAATTATCATTTTCTGTGAAACACACGGGCGAGGAGCAGGCGGCTCGTAAATCTGAGCACAAGACGTAGTGTGTCTCTAATGCTCTCCGCAGACATGTTGTGGCTGCGTAGTGCATGCAATGTCACAGGACCAGATGTAGTAACCCTATAAATTATAATCTTACATTTCCAGGGAAGATATGATGTGAAGTGAGGGCAAATTCCTCCATAACAACCTGTTTAGAATGTAGAGTTTACTGGTGATTTGTTGCAAGTCACATTACAGAAAAAGGACAAAAAACTTTATTGCATGAAAGATTTCCATTATAAGGCAATATGACATGTAACATTAATTATTAATGCTTTATCAGGCAAATTGATTAAGCGGGAGCATTAAGAAACAAGCTTTTGACACTCTGCAAGCTTATTTGCCAATTTGGGTGAATGAAAATTTTGAACTTAAACTTTTTTTCTGGCCGATACAACACAGTCAGCACAGTCTCAGTATGGACAGTTTATATAAAATTCAGATCTCATGCATAGTTAAACTGCACTAGAGATTTATGCTGGAGCCAGAATCACCCTGCTAAGAAAGGCACGATCAAACTTACGAGAAAAGGTACCGTTACTTAAGTATAGTTACTTTAAACACACATTATGGGAATCGTTAGACCATCGGGTTTTCAGCTCAGGCCTATCTTTTTAAATGATTTATAGACTGCTTAATGACCTGATGGTTATAATGTCTGTCGCTGTAGATGCTCTGAAGTGCTCAGACTATTGTTGACAGACTGTAGCTAATGGTACTTTACTCAGTATCACGGAATCCATCAAGATAAGCCTTCAGACTGCCATTGAACTGTGCCCCACCACAGGGTTTTAAAGTTGTTCAACAACTGGTGTAGCCCCATCCCGCTGACACTGCCAATCAGCTCCCTTTTCTTTTTTTTTTTTTTCCTACCACTGGTTTGTATCATAATTCATCTCCGAAAGTACGTGATTCTGCTTTTTCATCTTTGAGCTCACACATGCACATCGGCCAAGCCGCAGCTGACGCCAGAGAGCTACTGTAGGCAAAGAAAACACAGCGTACTATTACTTTCCCCCCCGTGCCGTCTGCTTACGCCTGCCCCACAGCCTGCCTGCCCCCAAAAGGCAGTCTGCTTTTGATTATGTGTGATCATCCTCAAGCTTGCCAGCCACATTTCAGACTCATGGGAGTCTCTCTCTCTGTTTTTTTTTTTTTTTCCCTTTAAATCTGGACCTAATTCAAAAGGAATCACATTGTAGCTTGTCTAAGCCAGTGTTAATTGCGGTCATGGCAGCTACCAGCACTTCTCTGTTCTACTTGTTGCATGTTTGTTTTCTATTTGTCACGATCATTTCCATAGCATTTGTAATCCACATGATAGGCACTCTAGCTTTGCATGTGCCAAAAGATTTGCATAAAACAAATTTTTGCCACCTATTAGAGTCTCTCTCTCCTTTAGAAAGCCTCTGTAAGTATCATAATGACACTTACTGTATAATTACAATTGTAAACTTCATCTATCAGTGTACACTTACAGAGTCCATTATATTGCCAACTGTTTAAGTGTTTCTATTAAGGTAATCACTCAAAGATTAGTGGCAATTACCATGTATGCCTAAATGCAGGCCTAATTGGAATGTCAATTTGCGTTCTACAACATTTTAGCCACATATCTACTGAGACGCCAACATCTCTATGTGTATTTTTTTTTCTTTCTGCTTCCATCTTGACCACACAATGGTACAACAAAATCATATAATGGGAACTATTACTTTGATAATAGAAGCGCAATTAAGGAAATAGGCTGACAATGAACCTCAGTGTTTTCCTCCAGCACAAGGCATCGCCATAGACTCATAAGGGATCGACTTATTACAAAACAGTGGAAAGCAGAGATGAAGGCCGCTGAGTGTTTGTGCTGTCGGTGGTTCAGGACGGTTATTTTTGGGCAAAGCTGCAAAACCCCTCTGTTTCCCCTCAAACACAAGGAAAACCAATTTGGAGATGAAATTTGATAGCTTTTTGACTTTTTAATCATGGGGATCGGCTGGATGTTTGAATAATGCTAATGATCATATAATAACATGATTGCCACGATGTTAACGAGGAAGGCCATTATAGTCCTATCAGTTAATGTAGCTTACTGTTGTTGTGGCTGCAGGATACCTCCAACCAACCCCATCACCCACACACACCCTGAACCTCTTCCATGGGGGAATCAGATGGCATGCAGGGTCAAATACAGAAGAAAAAAACAAAAAAACATGAGGGAAACATTAGATTCATAGGCCCTCATAAGCTGTAAGAGTAGAGCCTTGAATTGTGAATATATCAGGAAAACTAACAAACTAGGAGGATTTGTTAATAATCTAAAGTGCACAGTGGGGCATAAAGAAATAACATATAATCATATCATATCAATAAGAAAAAAAACACCTAAAACAACCATTTAATAACTTACAAAATAATCTTATGTTGCTTTTATTTGTTATTTTACTGGTTTATTACTATATCTGCATCATAAAAATGTGATGGGGGAACATTTCTTAACTTTGGTCAATGGTTTCTTATTCTCTGTTATTCTCTCTCTCTCTCTCTCTCTCTCTCTCTCTCTCTCTCTTTCTCACACACACATACACGCGAACGCGCGCACACACACACCTCCCACCTCCTCCTCCGATGGGATCCCGGGGTGAAAGACATCATCAGGCGGTCCAGGACTTTGCAGGAGCCGGTCGCGTCACTCCTGGATGGGCGGCGCGCTGACGGGAGGACGGAGGGTGTTTTCCAGCTTTAAAAGCACCGGAGCCGTCCCCTCCGACAACAAGCGCGCTGCGTCATCGACCTGTGGGGAGACTCTTTAAAAACCTTCATTGTGCCGAAGTGAACCAAACTCACCTCAGCCACGGTTCTCTCTCTCCCCCCTCCTCCTCCCCTCCCTCTCTCTCTCTAAGCAGCCGTATACCTGACGCCGGTCTCCTGATTCTATTCGTTCCTTTTCGTGCGCACCGGTCCAGCGCGTTGCGGTTCCAAAGTTGTACACTCGGTTTTTTTTAAATTAAATTTTCTTTCTTGATTTTTTTTATTATAATTATTACGAATTATGACTTTACTTAATGGTTGCATGAAGTGAAGTGTTTTGATCACTGTGCTCGGTGAAGGCGCTTCTTGACAGTCTCGCAGCCGGAGAAAGTTGCGCATCGCTTGTTGAATGCAGGATACCTTCTGCCTGAGCGTCAAATCCAAGTTCAGCTTTGGAGCAGCAGCTGGTAAGGAGCGGGGACTCCAGTTTCTCACCTCTCTCGCCGCCGATATGAAGTCTGCAGAAGAAGGTAAAAGATATTGCCTTGTTGCTGTCTTTTCAAAGTTCCAACCAGCGCTTACAGATGAGCTGCCTGTTTCGGCAGATTTGAGAATGTGTTGACAGCGGGTGCTACAGCTAATGCAAATTGATGGGGACCTTATGGACTACTGCAAAGTCTGGGTTAAGTCTTCAGTGAGCCTATATTACAGTGAAAAAGAGCTATCAGTTTTTGTTAAATGCAGCATAACCTGTATTTTTAAGGAGAGCCATCATATACTTCCAGCTGTTAACTTATTAGAAACTGAAACCATTAATTACTTGACTTTTTTTATGTGTAATTTAAAAAAAAAAAAACTTTTATATAATAATATTTTGCTCACTCAAGTATAGTGAGGGTCATGCCCCCATTTTTGTTATTTTTTATTTTTATTTTTTTTACATCTACACCCTTAGGTGTCTCCAGCTGTCTTTGCAGGTGCTTCTTATCACAGGTGATGGGGTTACCTGCACTCCACTGGTTAGGAGGTTCAAGCACATTTCACTATTTTCAATTTAAAATCAGAGAGATGGTCGACTCTCCTCCATGCAGTAGAAGGTCAGAAGTCAGGGATCAGGGTTTCAGGAGCTCCTTGCCATTCAGTGCTTTCTGCAGGCATCAACATAAAGGATGATTCAGCCTGGGTTTGCTAAGTTTGAAGTTCTTTCATTCAGCATTTATGGTAGCACAATTTAAAATTGGTCCATCTGCAGCCACTGATAGTCTGCCTCGTCTTCATTCACAGTGCTGATGTCATTGGCTTTTTGTGGATTTCGGAAATTTCATTTTGTCTTTGAGGCTTTTTTAGACGGATGGGTGCGGGCAGTATTATTATTCATTTCAGTCCCTCAGTACTAAGCCTTATAATTGGTAACAGACCTGTGTGTGTATGTGTTTGTGAGCGAGAGGGAGAGTGGAGCTGTGATGTGTGCGTTCAGGGATGCCGGGGTAGCTTGCTTGACAAGGAGACGTGCTTAACCACACACAGCCTCAGCACTGTGCCGAGGGCTGCTTTGCTGTCACACACACAAACACACACGCTATACGCACAGCACACAGATGCACACAAGCCCTGCTGGTGTTTTGCCATAGCCCCACAGTCAGCCATGTGCGATAAGTGGCCCCAGGGCTCTTAGTTCCAGAGACTGCAGATGGCTTCTGTGGGCGACCACCTATCTCCCTCTGAGGTCCCGTCAGTCTGAGCCCGGCCCAGACCACAATCCCTGTGGATAAACCCATCCATTCTTTAGTCACGCTGGTTTGGTTGTGGGGAGAGAGTGTTTTGATCATGATAGCATAATTGAGAAAAAAAATTTGTTGGGGGGGGGGCACAGAAAGAGCACGCTATAATTTGTGTGATAGTCAGTGTTTTCAAATTAAATCTGAGCACACCACATTTTCACCACAAACAATTGCAGAAGTATTGTCTTGTGTTCTTAGAGTGAGTCATTTTTTATTTTTCTTTCATTGATTTCATCCCCCAAAATTCTCATCTGGTATAATTTTGTTAGTTCAGCAAATGTGACGTCTGTGTGTGTGTGTGACCCGGAAAAGTGAAGTTTCGAGATCAGCCAGCACACAAGAGTGAAAGCCCCACTGAGTTTGAGTGGGTGTTAAAAGTACGTTGCAGCGCAATGCACTGATCGCACACACGCTTAAAAGGGTGAAAAAAAAAAAAAGTTAACAGCTGCAACTCTAAGCAAGTCAGTCAGGCCTGAAGTAGGGAGGTGTGCTACAACGGGGTGGAGAGGCCAGGAGATTATCATCTGTTTCAAACCAGAGGAGAAAAAGCCTCAGAGAAGACTGAGCTGGAGACTTAGTTCCTATGTTGAAACAGTGAATATTGACTGGGGCAGAAATGAGTTTCCAGCATGAAGAACAGGAGTTTGATTTCAGCAGCGTGTTTGAGTACAGCCAAGGTGTCCAGAGTGAACAAGAGAGAGGTGGGTGCTGAGGGGTAATGGTGGGTTTCTTTCTTTTTATTCTTACATCACAAGAAAAGTGAGTTGAGTGAGTGGGTTCTCCTATAGAAATAATACATATAATCAACTGATATTAATTATTCTGATAACTAAGAAGCATTCAACTTTTTTTTTTTTTTTTTTTTTTTAAAGGAACTTTTCTAAGCTTCTGCTTTTGGAATAATCTGTTTCAAAGTTCAGTGTTTTAAAGAAGAAGTGGATTTCAGATTGACTTTTCTATAATATGTATGGATTATATCTACTGGTATATTAAATATGTGTGCTGCGCAACACATAATCACCTCTGAAAATAGACTCTCAGAAGCTAATTTTACCTTCCCTACTCACACATTATGTGGTGTGTGACAGATTTGTCATTTCATGTGATACACAGCATTGTGGTTAACAAATATAGCACACTGCATCGAGGGGAATGCCCTTCACTGGGTTTCAGACTGAACGTTATTATTTCTGTGACCAGTTTTACCCTCTTTGACATTATCAATAAACGGCAGGCGTGAGGTTTACAACTGTTGACACAGCCGCCAGCCGCTACGAGGCTAACTGAGGAGGCATACCTGCCAGGCTATATACGCTTCCGCTGACTGAGTTTGTATGTCACTGCGCTCGTCTGTCTGTGATTTCCTTGTGTGCCTGCTCGTGCATGCCCTTTGTTTGTGTGTGTACCTCGGCGCATCTGTGTGTAGCGCTGCAGCAAACTCTCTTTGACTTAATCACAAGCTCAGAGCGATGCAAGAGTGCTGTCAGTTTTCCACAGGGGAGGGCCTAATTCACTCAGTGAGTGATGCAATCAATCAAATAAAGCATCCATCAGCGCTGCTGGAGGAATTCCTGTAGAGTACATATGACAGCGGGGTGTGCCAAATAGAGCTTCAGATGAACTGATCAAACAAACAGAGTGGCGGTGCAACTTGCATCTACACACTAACCACATACAGTAACTGCTTTGAGATGATTGCTAAGCTTCTCCAGATGTTTATAAAGATGGGGGGTAGTCGGTCTCTGCATGAAATACTTGTAAGCTCTGTGCTGAGGTATTGTTCTTACGTGTCAGTTACTACCATAATGTACTTAGTTCTGAGCACTATACTGTGGAATTCAGTTATTTTCCTTCTATATTTATAAATTATACCTCTCTTTTTCAGATGCATACAGCTACACACCAAATGTCAGCCTGTCCCTTCCACTGGGTATGGGCAACCCCTGTCTGGCCACTCAGTACCACACCTTACAGTCCAGCCCAGTCATCTCAGTGTCTTCCTGTCACCAGACAGGCTACAGTCTCCATAATGACAACCATGCAGCATCAGGCTACTACCTGCCCCATGGCTTGAGACCCAACGGCGCTCCGGCCTTGGAAAGCCCTCGTATTGAGATCACTGCCTACAGCCAGTACCCCGAGGATGAGGTAGAAGAGAGCAGCAGTGAGGACCACATCATCAAACGAGGCGTTAACTCCATCGTTACACTGACACTGCCCAATGCAGACGGCTACCGCGACCCCAGCTGCCTCAGCCCTGCGAGCAGCATTTCCTCACGCAGCTGTAACTCCGAGGCGTCGTCCTACGAGTCCGGTTTCTACAACTACGACAACTCCCCGCAGAACTCCCCCTGGCAGTCTCCCTGTGTTTCTCCCCGAGGGTCGTCCTCGCTTCTGTCGTGCCCGCATGCCAGCGGCCCTGCAGGCTCCCCTCACCACTCACCCTCCACCTCCCCACAGATAGGAGCTGTGGCCGAGGAAGGCTGGCCAGCACAGCCTCGCGGCTCCAGGCCCAACTCCCCGTCCTGCAGTGGAGGTGGCGGAGGCAACGGTGGCAGCATCGGGAAGAGAAAGTACAGCTTCAATGGCACCTCCTACCGTCAGACATCCTGTTCACCCAACCAATCCCCAACCCCCTCGCCTCATGGCTCGCCCAGGGTCAGTGTCACAGATGAGAGCTGGCTCCCCAACACCAACCAGTACACCAACTCTGCAATTGTGGCTGCCATCAATGCTCTAACCACAGATGGAGTGGTGGACATGGGGGAGGGAATCCCAATCAAGACACGGAAGACCATGCTGGACCACTCCTCCTCCATGAGCCTGAAGGTGGAGCCTTGTGGCGAGGACCTGGGTCCTGATGGGGACCTCTGCCATGAGGACTACCCCTCCCGCCTGGCCCTCAAGAAGGAGAACTACTGTGGAGGGTTCCTGGATGTGCCCCAGCATCCATACTCCTGGTCTAAACCCAAGCCTTACCTCAGGTAGGTTGAGCTGCTCCACCTTCTGCTGAGTCAAAAGTTAGTGGTCCTGTATCAAAGTTTCGACAATGTGAAATAACCAGCCACCTTAAGAAGAAATGATACTCACACGTATTTACTTCTTTAGAGAGATTTATTTCAACATTTTTAACATTCAGTCTAAGAACCTCTATTTACAGACAGTACACTTCATCAAATGGCATCATTGCATTACCCTGTTGTTGTCTTTTTGTCTCCACATTTAGTGTTGATATTTATTGTGAGCACAAGATTGTTTTAGTTTTTAATCTTCAAAGGCCATATCAAAAGGCAGAAATCCAAAGTTACATGCAATTCACTTCCAAAAGAGCTCTCTTTGAAGATCAAAACTATTTCATAAATCATATTTCACAGAGAGGAGTTGCACAGCATGTGTGTGCCCCCGTTGCTATAACAACCCCCACACAAATATAAGAATACATACACACTCATGCCCTCAACAATATCATCGATTTTTGTCCTTTGAGCAAGGTGAGCTTTTTTTTTATTTCTTTTGTTTCTCTCATGGCATTTTTTTTTTCTTCCCCAGTGCCAATAACACACTTTCCTGTAGGAAATCAAGTGTTTGATTAAGATAGTGAGCAGCAGGAAGTAATGGTGACAGGCCTGGCTGAAGGGGAAGCAGTCTGCGAGTTAATCAGCCGGCTCGCTGCGCTGGTCTGTCGCGCCATCAGCCCATCTTTTTCTGTGTAGCTAACGTGATGTCATGCACTGACGGGGCAGATAAAGCCCTGCGGGGGGAAATCAGTTCGTTTTGGGTCAACAAACAGCCTGCAAGTTCCACAAAGATGCCAGAGATTGGTTTCAGTCGAGCCACCCTTCAGGTCACGGGTTTGCGTTTACCAGGCATCCGGCACAGAGAAATATTGTCTTGCACATGTTTGTTTTGATTTAGATATCTCCACGGTGTTCACATGAGAAGCTCTGACTCTCCATCTCGAGAACAATGATGTTGAGGGAGGCCAGCTGTAGCTCTGAGAAAGAGATATCACCCTCCAAGGCAGGGTGTTCTGCTGACCTTATTCCATTGTATAACTCTGTTGTCTTCAATATGAGCGTGGCTTTGTTTTATAATTTTACAGTTATCAAGCTGAAATGGATAGTAATTGTATCAAAGAAAGCCTGATTGCCAGTTAGTGTGAAATTTGTTTTTGTGCCCTAGAAACATCTTTCCTCCCACTGTCACTTTCTTAACTCCCTGCGTCTGTTTCCACCTGTCACAAGATAATGCAAAACACACTGCTCTAACCAGGGCACATTCGTCTCTCATTTATTTTTCATAAAAAAAGGGCCACTAATTATTACCCAGGCCCAAGGAATTACACACGTCAGGGAATGACTTCAATTGATTAGATTATAGACCATGATGAAATGGAGCAGGATCAAGCCAGTTGGATTACACTAAAGTGTCCCAATTTAAAGCTAATTTAAAGCAAGTTTAGAACGCTTTGAGTCAGACTTCCATGACAGTGATAGAACCCTGAGTCCGTGGAAAAAAATATAACCTTACAGTTCCTGCTTAGGCAAATCAAATCAAAACAGAGAAAAGCAGAAAATACATAAAAATACAACCTTTGTTCATGTGTCTTTACGGTTTTATCCCAAGTAAAGTGGGAATGTAAAACACAGCCCTCACTGTTCAGGAAAAAATAACCAGACACTGGGTGTTTAGCACAGAAAGTCGTAATCTTTTGACAGGATAAATATTGATTCACTATCCTGTTGAAAGGCAGAAAATTGAATGTTATGTTATTTTCACCTAAAAACGATCAATTTGCCGTGTTATTGCAGCCCATCTCTGCCAGCACTGGACTGGCAGCTTCCGTCCTGCTCCGGTCCATACAACCTGCAGATTGAGGTGCAGCCAAAGTCCCACCACAGGGCCCATTATGAGACCGAGGGCAGCCGAGGAGCCGTGAAGGCGCTGTCTGGAGGACACCCTGTAGTACAGGTATGTCAGCACCACTAAATGTTTTATAAATCAGATCTTTAAGACTCACTGTGTACATTTTCATTCACCAAAGACAAGGTTAGCTTTGTGTCTTTCAACTGTGTAATAACTTGCTGTCATTACAGCATAAGTGCTAACCATAGCGTGCTGATTAACAGTAGTTTTTCTGTCCAACAACAAGCTTTTGACATGGACTTTTGGCAGTTGCTGACTTTATGACAGCATGTAGTCACAAAGCAAAGTCAGAGCAGCCCTGACATTTCTTTCATTAGCCTGCGCTTTGATGTTCTCTTGCTATTTTTTTTCTTTCTTTTCCATCAAAGAAGTCAAGAAATCAGATTTGCATGGTCCGAATTAGCTTAAATCTGAACTGTATGATTGCTGTTTGAAACATGCACAAATTATCTGCTGATTCTGGAGAAATAATAGTGCCACATGTGGATGAATCGAAAAAAATAATTGCCAGATGGCATCTCCATATATTATTATTTTGCATCATAAAATCAGAAACCACTGTAAAAAAAAAAAAAAACAATATAAGTCAGTCATTTTTAAACAGACATGATGTGCCATTGTATTATCATTGCAAACCTGTCAACTGGCTTTTAAAAAGCCTTTCTTGTAACTTCCGTTAGCAGCAACAGCAGCACAGTATTTATACACTATGCTTCAGTATGAGCCTGTATGCTGTTATTAATGTTCCCTGAAGCTGAGAGTCAATCTACTGCTGTAAAAGGTCGCTCTGACCAGCAGCAGTGCACGCTGACTCAATTAGTATAGAGGAGGACCATCGCCTCTCACTATTGTACTTGGCAAACACTTAAAGAGCACACGTCAGTCTCACTTGCAGCACAGCACAGAGCTCCTTTCTCTGCTACACTGTCATCACAGTACGCTGACAACTCAGTTTACACAAGGCGGGGATTTGATGGTGTATGCATGTCCTGAAGAGAGGGTACATTTACATTAAATGCAGTTTATTTGAGCATAAACTGCATTTATCCTACACATTGTTGGGGTATTCATTGGTTAAAGTTTTGATACAAAATGAATAGAATAGATGTTAGAGGGCTTTAGTTTTCATGCAGATAAAGTAAACCCTGCACCCTGAGAAAACCTTTTTTTTTTTTTTTTTTGTCAGACCAGAAGAGTTTTAAGGTTGGTGGTCCATCCTGCTCACACACTTAGCATTAGATGTTGTTCGCACCACAGCTGTTTTGTAAATAGATGCTGTCAGCACATCCTGGTCTGCATGCTGTCAAATGCACTTGACAGCTGTTGCCCAACGTGGTGTTATAAACAGGCCTGTCAGCCTTTAGGTTTTCTCTGTAAATACAGGTAATCACTCCCCTTCATTACAAACCTGTGTAGATCAACATGCGGGAGAATCAACATCGCACCCTCACACCTCCCCGTACTGCAGTGAGAGGCTGACCAGACTCAGCTTGCCATGCACAGCTGTGGCAGGTGAGACTGGTTGTGATTTAGTTGACGCCACTTTCTGACTCATTCTCCAGGGGCCAGAATAAGTAAGTGCCTTGTACGCGTTTGCATACACAATGCTCTCTAGATTTGGATTATTGATTTGATTATTTTATGCGTCACAGGCACCAGTTTATAACACCTGCGAGAATATTTCCAAGTCTTACCGCATGTGCCAATCAGTTATTACTAAGCGGTAGCAGCAGAGAAAATATGATGACAGCTGCTCTACGGTCACACCTGCTCATGTACTCACATAGTTCATACTTTACTGTTACTTCTTGTTGAGGAGTGATTTATGCCTCTGATATTGCATGTGCAGTCAATGAGGATATCTTGAGGGTTTCAAAACAGTGGAAACCACTGCAAGCATGGCAGTTGGCAGAAAGATAAATCTATCAGGATTAGGAAATCATGTGTACACAGTAGAGGGTAAAATATGGAAGAGGAACCTGTAGTATGTCTTCAGGGAGTTTTTGCAGAGTTTCAAGTACAAAATCTCCCCTAAAACTCAGTTTCTCACCCCTCATCAGTCTCTTTGTCTTTGTTGCGGTGTTGTGTGAATTTCTGTTGTCGTAATCTTGGAGGATAGGGCCTGCTGTAGTCCCCAGTGCCCTGTGGTAATGAGTGGCAGGCGCTGGATGGGTGAGGTGCAGTCAAGGAGAATGAGTCAATAATGACACGGGGGCACGGATGTAGGAAGCAGCTAAGGAAGTGTGTGTCTGTGTGTGTTTGTGCTGCTTAAGACTGGAGTGTGTAGAGGGAAAGAGAGAGAGAAGGGGCAGAGGGAGCCACCAGGCAGCTGGGGCTTCGCTTGGCTGCCCCTAGAGATGCTCTGTATCCTGCTGATTAGGACCTGAGTAGCCCTGAGGTTGGCTGAGCATGGAGGGGGTGTTGTGGTGGGAGTGCATCCAAGTCAGAATCCCAGCACCCATCAGATGCCACCTCCCCTTTCCATGCACCGGTGCCTCCCTCCCTCCCCGAGGGACCTGAGGATGTCGCTCCCTGTGAAGCGTTCATCCTTCAACCATCTTCCAAACCCTCACCAGCAGGCCTCCCTCCATTAAAGCCCAGTCATCCACAGCTCTGTGGTTGTTTTTGTTTTGTTTTTTGAGGCTCATGGATGATCAGGCACACGTGCGATGAGTGATGGTGACGTGTGTTGGAAAGCAAGACCGGGTGAAAAAAACAGCGAGATGAAAAACATGAAGGGATACACTGTTTCAACAGCCTCCATTGCACCCTAGAGAGACGGCAAATGACAGATAGTCCTCAAGTGCTCATTTACTGTTGTCTTGTTATTTCTGAGCAAACTCAGGTGTTTTTCTTGGCAAGCACAGAGGACAGTGTAGCACCTGTAAGATCTGACATGATCCTGAGCTGCTGCACATCAACTATGCAGCATTGTCCACCACACAGGATGGATAGATTATGGGATGGGTGAGTGCATTGAGAATGGAGGGTCTTTACTCCAGCCACACACCAATGCAAACCTCTAGATTATGGGTTACCTCGACTCATTACCCTTCAGCTGCTTACACCAGCTCTTGGCTTCTCCTTTTCCAAGGCTCTGTCATTTATTCCGGATTCACACTCCATTCGTTTCTTCCCTTTCCTCTGCGACTGCAGCCTTTTAACCCCCTCATCTCCCTGTCGGTCCACTTCGTGACCCCCACGGCTGCTTTTCTACTTTATTTACTGCAGCAGACCACAACGCCATTAAGGGGATCTAGGGTACTCTATCGGCTCCTCACACACTGTTCCAGACGCTCCCCTCTCTCACCACAGCTATGTCAAACGCCGAGTGATTTTCGAAGCCGCGCTCAGGAAAAACCAACAACCTGGTCTACCTTCGCTCAGACTACCACTGTGACGTTGATTGATTATTTTTTCCATACTAGAACATTGGGGGGAGGGGGAATATGTGGTGAGTTATTTTAATTGAGAGTATAGTGACAGAGGATGTAACCGTGTTCTGATCTCAAACTTGTTGCAAACGCTTACAGGTTGGACCTTAGTCAGCAAGCACACAGACATCTATCTGCCAAGCCCATGGCAACAACAGACAACAACACCTGTGGAGTATTAAACCCATTGTGCAGCATGCAGTGCAGAGTCCTGCTTATGGCTAGTTCATATAGCATAATCACTGGCCTATGGGGCTCCCCCCCCCCTCATACACTCTCTCATTAAGTCTAAAGCAGCAACAGACATGGTGTAATTTCAGCAGGATGTGGCCATCATCCCTATTAACGTGTTCGTGACTTAATACCCATCTCCCTTCCTCTACAACTGTATGTAATGCACATCAAATTTGCAGTATGTTTCCGCCACGACGACATGAAAGACCTTGGCCAACATGTGCACAGTTTCTCGCATGTGCGGTTTCACCTTGGGATCCGGTACTTGCTGGCTGCGTAATGTCTCAAAGTAAAACCCCTGATCTACAGCATCCTATACTGTAACTGCTAATTGCTCATTAAATCTGCCGCCGCCTCTTGTTTGATATTCAAAAGGCTTGGTGTACCCTGTAGTGCTGTTAGAGCTTAGTCAGGGCTATTATTTGTTGCCCAAAGGGGTATTTATGCCACTCTCAAATTGTGGTTCTCCATCTGCGGGGCTTCCCTTACACTGGTATTGGGCTACCACTAATTACCAGTTAATAGCACGTGGAAAAAGTTGAGAGAAATGTGCATCGTTTTCACTGGTTTGAGGTGATAACCAGACAGCCCGCAGATTTATGAGGCAAGACACTAGTGAGTAGTCTCGCTATTGGAGCAGCACAGCAGTCATCAGTACATCATCTCAGTCTCTGTAGGTTTGGATGATATTTCTTATGGCAGGCCGTCTGGTAACAAAGCCATTCTTTTATATGGAATTTGGCCCCTCGCTGGTCTAGACATAGGCTTGTGCTTGAAACTATGCCCTCAATGACATAACACCGAAGCACTCAGTTCAACAAAAACTTTGAGGGATATAGCTGTTTGGTTACTTATAAAAGGAACAGCATTTAGAGTCATGGAAACGCAGCACATTAAAAGATTGCATATGTTGCCTTATGCATTCAATATGAGGCACTGGAGACATTAGCAGGGCAGGAGGGTGATGGAGTAAAGTCTGGAAGGAGAGACAACTTGGATGAGTGTACATTTAATTGGGTACAGCAAAGGCTGGCTGTGTGAGTGTGTCAGCACTTGACAGAGAGGGGAGCGTGATAATGGGAAAAAGCCTGAATCTGCTGTTGTATTTCTCCTCCCCTGCCTCAGTCTCCCCCCCTCCGCTGCTGCTGCTTCCAGTCATCTTCTCCTTCTTCTCTCCCCAATCCTCTGCGCCACGTGGACTTCTACGAGTCATGACATTTCTCCAGGCAGTGATGAAATCACTGCAGAGCGATAGAAGGCAGCCCACTGCAGGCCTGTGGAGTGTATTCACACTCAATTTCTAGCCAGGCCAGACACATCTAATTTACCATCAAGTCATTATTAAACTTTACATGTTTAAGTCCCTCTTTGAACTATTGACGTCAGGTGCAGGGCAGCACTGAGAATGTCACTATTACTAAAGAAACTGAAGAATAAAGTGTGCTATGAAACTATATATATTTAGCATTTGAAACATCACCCTCTGTAATTATTTAATCACTAATGATTTCCATTGAGTGAAGCAAATAAGAAAATGAGAAGAAAAGAAAAAAAAAAAACATATGGGACTCTATCCCAAGGGCTGAAACTTTGTGGTGATGGATGTGAAATGGTCCAAAGGCGAATGGGAGATGAATGGTGCAAAAGACAGACAGGGTGCACCCTCTTCTCCCTTTTCTTAGCTCACCCTCCATATCATCACAACTGACCCAGACAATACAGCTGCAAACAATTACACAATTAATGCTTCAGCTGCCATATCCGCAATGTTTTACTTGAGGCTCAGCTATCAGAAATGATTCGTGCAACAGTGGCTTGCGGTGCGAGGTGTAAATGGATCTAGCTGACACAGTGGCAAAGCTGGCACCCAGAAACAGCTGCAAATCAAGCCTCGATTTAAACTCGGTTTAGATTAGCTCAAAAATAAATATACAGTACGCGTGCCAGATAGGCTGCTGTTACAGCAAGAGAAACTCATCTGGTGAGAATTATCGGCTCTCTGATCCAATCTCGAAGGCGGCATCGACTTAAATACGAAGCTGAGGTCACAGGTGTGTGTGTGCGTGTGTGTGTGTGTGTGTGTGTGTGTGAAGCCCTTACTTAGAGTTTACTACACAACCTCAGCTCCCCAGATCTTATTCGCCCATTGAGAATAATATGAAGAAGTACGTTTTGCGCTCTGCTTGCGGTGTGCAGTTGAGTGAGCATCACAGAAGTTTAGCAGAAGCGAAGGAGAGACCATAGGGAGAGGGTCAGGGGAGCACATATGGTAAAGGAATTGAGGGAGGTCGCCTAGGGGGGACCAGACCGCCTTCTTTAGCTGCTGGGAAGACCAGTGTCACCAAGAGGACTACCTGACCTCATTAATCACTTCCTCTCCTCCATGGGGTCGCCACGGTTTCGGTTGAGGACGCCACCGTCATCGTGCACGACTGAGTGAAGGAGATAAGGACCCCCCATACCCGGTCTCCCCCTCACCCTCCCACCTCTTCTGGGCCTCCTTGCAGCCACGTGGCGGCTGAGGTAATGGTTGGAGGTCAAAGAGAAACCCAAATAAGTCTGCTGAGGCAAAAGTGACAGACGACACGGCTTTGTAGCGCGGCTGCCTGTGTTTTATTAAATCATAAGGCAACGTCATGCAATTTAACGCTCCGGTGTTTCAGATTTGTACCTCATGCTCCGCCATGGCCCTCCCGTGAGTCAATGCGCCAGTAACTGGTAGCATGTGCGGCTATGGATAATTACTTCTGGTGACACCATAAGTAAAATATAACAAGGGGAGCGAGGTCTGCTGGTGAGATCACTGCATAGATGAAGTGGTCCCTCGGGATGCCAAGACTTCAAGAAGCTCCTGACCTCGGCCTAACTCACTGATGACTAGCATGTGTGACTAGCTCACAGGTCAAGACAGCTGCTAGAGACACTATGGGGAGCTGAGGAGAAAAATATGATAGCTGGAACTGGAGATGAATGACAGCCTTAGCTTTACCACTCCCTATACACTCCCTTGATATCTGAATCAAAGAGCAAAACCAGATAACCACTGGTGCTTAGATTATTGAGGCATATGGATATATACTCTACGCCAATGTCTGGTCATATCCTATTTTTACTCAATATAATTAATTCTGAATATTGTATAACTGGAAAGAAAAAGAACACATCCGCCGCCTTGTCCCAAATCCAGAAGTGTCTGTCGTCAAGTTCAGACCAAAGGCATTTAATCTCTGTGTTTATTATCAGACCAGACAACTTTTAATACAGTATCCAGACAAATTTGTTCACAAACCAAAGGCATTAGGTGTCTGTGACTCTGGACTCCGCAGACCCCCATGACATAGCTCCACCGTCTACCACCAGCCTTGCTCTTCCTCACACCCCATCCCTGCTTGCCCTCTCAAAGGTAATTATAAACCCATTAATCAGATTATGTCATAGGTTACATGTGGTCTGCATTTTCTTAGATGACTCAGTGAGCTAGATAAACAACAGGGGTCTTTTATTCCATTTGACGTTACCACTGTTTTCACTCGGACGGAGCTCAAAGAAAATTGGTCTGAAGCAGTGTGCTGCGGTAATTGACCAATTTGTGGGATTTTTCTGATGGCCATGACTTGGTCAGCCATGGCTTTGAGTTACTGATCCCTCACAGTAAATGTCACATGTGGCCAAGTAGCCACCTGGGTGGATCTACAGAGGTCTGCACGATGAGAAGTTGGTCTTCTTGGTTTCCTGCGCACCAGATGGATTCTGCAGCTTCCTGACAGCTTTTAGGTTTGGAGAGATTTCTAAGTCCACACTAACATCCGCTGCTATGACCATATGACCACTCTGCACTGCAGAGTGAAAGAGTATCCTGGGAGGTCTATGGTGTTAAGACTCTTTTCCACCAGAAATCACTTGGTTGGCAAATTATTCTGGTCAGAAATCACTCACAAAGTATCAGTTATCCTTTACCACATTTTGGAATTTGAAGCTATGCCTCGGTGTTCATATTTTTGGACCATTACACACTTGGTTAAATCATCAATTTATGTTACGTTAGACAGTGTCAGAAAATGATCCACGGATGCGAAATACAAATTGGCAGCCGCAGTTTATATGTGAAGTGCAGTTGACCCCAAAGTCGACAGTACTTTTCAAACTATGCGTTGAGTTTTTCTTCTCTTTTTTTAAAGATTTGATCTTTTTATTAGTTGAGCAGTGGCAGCTAATGGAGGCCTGCTAGAGGAAGTGGTAGTTGTTTGAAGTGGTAGTTCTGATACAGGAGTCTCTTTCATCACAGTGGGACACAGTCTCTGAGCTTTAATGGAAATCATAATGCATGTTCATAACTGGCCAAAGGCAAAAAGGGGCTGGATCGTGTCTGCATGCCGCGCTCCAAGAAGTATTTGGGTGTTGTTACTGATCGCATTTAGGTGTTAAGCTTTAACTACTCTACCTGTAGACTAACATTTCCCTCACTCTAAATTTATGGTGAGATTCAACATAGAAAAACTGGAAAAACCGTAAACAGATGTGCATGTCATGATTTTGTTTCCAGTGCTATGTATGTATTAATGCATGTATTATATAAGAATGAATTGTCAATGTCGCCATTTTGATTTTACCCTGTATTTATAGAAAATTATTATTGGCACAGTCATTACTTCTTTAAAGTTTAATAGGAGAGCGTCACACCTTGCAGCAGACTACAGATGTTTGCCCTGGATTCTTATTTTGTCTCTTTAAGGATCACTTTCCACTGAGTCACTATCAACTGCTTGCTTCTCTGTTGGCAATTTTTTAATAGCAACAGTGAGGTTTTAATGCACAGTGAAGTGATGAGAAGTCAGCCTCTCCACAAGGCTGGTCCGTACCACAGGCACAAACATTATTCTTCACTCTCTCTTCAAATGTCAAAATAACTTGGGGAAAAAAAAAATAGAACAGCAGAGACCACTGAAAAGGGGTCTCCAACCCAACCAAAAAACAAACAATGAAAAGGGCCATATTTTCAGAGCCCCTTCACCCTGTCAGAGCGATCATGAAAAAGCTCTTTAACTATCAGTAGCTGATGTGTATTCAATTTCAATTTTCTAAATGAGGGGTTGCCTGAAATGGAGGTCTTAAAACCTGATGTTGCCTCTCACCTGGGTCCCTTTGTTCTCCCGCCAGCTTTATGGCTACATGGAAAGCGAGCCGCTCACCCTGCAGCTGTTCATAGGGACCGCAGACGACCGCCTCCTGCGACCACATGCCTTCTACCAGGTCCACCGCATCACTGGCAAAACCGTCTCCACCGCCAGCCATGAAGTCATGCAATCCAACACCAAAATTCTGGAGATCCCTCTGCTGCCTGAAAACAACATGAGAGCCATGTGAGTGCTCTTAGACCTCCGCAAGTTGACTATCCATCTTTCCACCTTTCTCTTGCCACATTTTTCTTCCTTAACCATTACTTTCAAGCACACACACACACACACACACACACGTTGTTCTTTCTTTCCACATTCATCTTTACTTTAGCTCTACAAACAGAATGGCTGATGATAGGTACTGTACAGCACACACTTTTAAATAGGCCTTCAAAACCGAGATCTGTAGTTCCGCCCCAAGGGATTAACAATTTCTAAGGAAGTAAAGTATGTACTCTGCGTTGACACGCTGAGTCCATGGGTGACTTAATTCTGACCAATGCTGTAGAGATTTCAAAAGTTAGATGCTCACAGTTGGAGAATATGGATTTTTCCCAAAGCCATGAAATGTTGAAAGGCCCACAATCCAGTAGTCTGATGTGATCCCATTATATTCAGCTTGGCTAATATATGCCAGTAAGATGAATGCATTAGAACATCCCTACTGAACTAACAGGTCTTGTAAAAAGAATGCTGCTTCCCAAAAGGATGACCCTGATTTGGTGGAGCAATTACTTACAGTCCTGTAGTCTGCAGAACCAGAAGCAAAGAAAAACAGCAGAACTGCAGTAGATCAATCTTTGACCTTATATTATTATATATTATTAAAAACATATAAATTACTTAGCAAAGTCTAAACAACGTAGTTTTTTCACAGCTCACATTTTAAGTTGAAAAAACAACAGGTGTTACTAATAACATTAACGTTGGTTGTGTCCTATTTAAATGTTCCAGTAAGCTACAACCACAAAGCATGTACAGTTCCAGGATCCTGAAACCTGTATAATTAAATTGTAGAATTGTAGAATTTGTAGAAACAAAAACAACTAAGTAGTATTCAATAACATGGAAGTAGCATGATAAAGTGTCCTAAAAAAGTCAACATTATCAATCAGTTAGATAATAGGTGCAGTCTGTGGCAACATAGCCAAACAGAAACCTCTAGAATCACACTATCTAAATCACTGAAAAGTGAAACCAGTCAAAGTATGTTACACATTTTTTCTAATAGCCAGTAGGGGGCGACATCTCAGGCCGCAAAAAGACGTGAGATTGCATATAAGTCTATGAGACAATATACATACCTTCTCTTTGATTTGTTACCTAAATAAAACATTTTCTGCTAAGTGTATGATCTTAATCACTAGTTTCGAGACTTTTTGAAAGCAGCACAGAGTTCATTTAGTAAATTATTGTCCCATTTAGACTAAAATAGACGATAATGCAGGGTCGCTACCGTATCGCCCTGCATAGTAGCATCGAGTTCTTAATCAGATTCAACCCCTGCTCATTACATCTGGTTTCAAAAGTGTGGTTAGAGCATAGAGAGAAGTACTCTCCTAAATCTAATCTTAGTTTACCTTAAGAAACATTAGCATCAGTTTGTTCAGCTGAGGCATCAGGTTTGTCCTCGCTTATCCTCCCTCCAGACCTGCAGTAATCCAAGGGGCTGTGCTCTGCAGTGTATCCAGGCAGGAGCTTCTGTCTTGGGGCTCCATTCGGGCTAGGCAGCAGTGAATTTATTGGACCGGGGCCCAGAACTCTGTGTTATGGATAAAACCACTGTATCAGAGCATAGGTTACATAAGGCCATTACCTCTTACTGCACCTCATGTTTATCCTTCACTATTTCGAATTTTAAAATACTTGCAATTTTTATAAAAAGAAATGGTCGTACATCTCTATTTTCTGGGACATAATTTAATGTTTGTTTAAAAGCTTGGGGTTTATGAAGGTATTTATGGGACATAAGAGCTTCCTGACTGGACAGTGGCCTTCTTTGGTTGGGCATGAATGATTTTAACATTTGGACTCTCTTACAATATCATTTCCAACCATACCGCAGTGTCCTTTATATTGTGACATATTTAGGGGCACCACTCACCCGTTTCACTTAATGTGTCCCTTAGGTTATGATTTTAGATAAAAACTGAAAAAATATTCAAGAGGTAGTTTCTTTCCCTTTTGTTGTCAGCATACAGGCTAAAAGCAGAGGAGTGAAACTTCCTTTTCTCTCCCCTGACGATCTAAACAGTCTGAAATGAAGAAAAGCCTTTAACTGTCTGTTTCCACCGAACTGTTAAACAGTCGCCTTGATAAAGCAAGCATCCGTCTTTGTGCTCTCGTGCCAGCAGTCGTTTGCTCGCTGTGTGGGATGCAGACAGTCGAGAAGTGCAGTCAAACTTTGAGACAGATTCAATCTGTCTTTTTTTTCCTCTTCTAGGTAAACTCATCTACAAAATCTAACTGTGACACATAACTGTAGCCTAATCAGCAGAATAACAATTACAATATGTTGTTGACATTATCACCAGTTATTGTGCAGAAGTTGTTTTCAACTCACATATTGCCTTATTGAACCGCTGGTCTGGATCTTTTATTTTGTCAAGATTTAACTGTTCCATATCAGGTTATACTGTTACCGTACACTATAGAAAGACTTCATGCTATTCCACCATTTACATTATATTATGTTATTATCATCTCATAGTTCTGTGTAAAACTACATGCATGACAAAACTCTAGATTGAGACAGACAAGACTGATAAGAAATGGCCACTGAGCATGACTCTACATGTTATTTTTTCTTTACATAAACTGTGCTAACCAAAGTCAAGGAAAAAATGGACTGGTATAAAACCTGACATTTACCGTGTTCCAGGAACGGGGCCCAAACAGCTACCATGTAAAATAAGTGAAATGCCAAACCATATCCCATTTGTATTCCCTCATTTTTTTTTACCAGCCACACTAGTTTTATTTAAATTCACAAAAGGCCACGCTTTCAAATGAATGCCTTTTTTCCACAAAGAAATGGGGAACGTAACTTTACTCCTTTACCTCCCAAACTGTGAAATGAAATAAAGACAGACAGTTTAGTAAATGGTCTATTGCTACACATGGTAATGATTAACGGTGGTTTAGGCCTAAAATGCAAGAAGGGAATGGTGTGAAAGGACAAAGCAGGCTTGATAGCAAAGTGACTTTACGTACTGTGGACTGTGTGTGATGCTTGTGAGCCATGCCGTGCTTGGTCCAAAGGGTTTCTCCAGGGAACTTGCTAATTCTTGGACCACTGTGACCATTGAAAACTGTGATGTAAAGCCATTAATGTCCAACTTTGCCTTTGATGACATGCTGGATTAATAATGACACGGTCATGCTCCAGTGAACTTCCAGTGCATGATCTGTAGCACCAGTGGGGACTTCACTGCTGGTCCTAATGCACAGCAGCTCTGCTCCATGTCTCACTTTAAACAGCCAAGAGAAAAGAAATCAAATATGCTCCCAGTTCAACCCTCGTCTATACATTCTGTATAAAATATCCCGTAGAAAGTATCATGTGTGATTACTGTGTGAAAGCACAAAGCAATGCTTCCTCGAAGTTGTTGCTCTGTAATAATGAACAGATCTGCCTTGAAACAACTTCACCTTTCTATTATCTTCTATATGTAAAGCCATAACGTGCTAAATTTTTCCTTTCCCTTCTCCTAGAATTGATTGTGCAGGAATCCTGAAGCTGCGTAATTCAGACATTGAGCTTCGCAAAGGAGAAACGGACATCGGACGTAAAAACACACGGGTGAGGTTGGTGTTTCGTGTGCACATCAACCAACCCAATGGCCGGACAGTGTCCCTGCAGGCTGCTTCCAACCCCATTGAATGCTGTAAGTCTTGGACACAAACACACGCACACATGCACACAGGATTAAATACAAATCTGGCATACCTTTCCTGTTGGCTCTCCACTTAGGCGAAAGGTGGCATGTATTGTTGTAATCCAATAAAATGAGCTAGTATTTTATTACCTGCTGGAGCAAATTCAGCGCCTCTGCACCCAGTAAGCTTTATATGATCAAAGGAATTTGCCAAGGCAATAGATGCATTATACATTATGCCAAACACACGTTATCTATCTCAAATTCACATTTTATGAGTGAATGCACAAGTTATTGTGGTAAGCCTACCCCATTAGCGCAGGTTCCACAAAGGTCATTTACCAGCCCCAGTTTTGGCACGGTTGAATGAACGCATTGAAGGAAACCTCTGTTTCTTTGTCATTCATTTGTATGTAGAAGTGCCATGTTATTTGCACCCGTGGAAGCCCATTAAAATTGGTGGGACAGAACTGGCATTATAGTTTATGGTCCAAAATAACTGTAGTTTTATTAGTGGATGTTAATTCGAGTTGGTTCATCTGTAATGGTTCATCATTGCATAGGATTAATAAGTCAGAGTTCTTCAATGCTTCCATTAAATCTTTCATTAAATACATTTATTCCTTATGAACATATACTGTATGTCTCTTAATCTGGTCACCGAATTCCAAAGGTCAGTGGTGACTAGCTAGCGTCATTTCAAAGAAAGCAGAGGCAGGTGGTTGGCCATGGGCATCTTGGGGGAAAATAATGAACAAGGATCTGGCCATAAAAATATTGTTTTCATCAGTTGTGCGCCTTTATCGATGTCATTTAAAGAGCAGTTGTTGGCTGAAAACCTCTTAGCTAGGGGTCATGAAATCATCATCATAAAGTTGATAAGCCTGTTTCCATAACCAAGAACTCATGCTCTACTGGCTGTGAGCTGGGCTTGTTTTTTGTCAGTAGATGGAGATCAGTGAGTGGCTTTGTGTAGACACTGCATTAAAATGTGTGTTTCTGTCCTGCAACAGCCCAGCGCTCAGCTCAGGAGCTTCCCTTGGTGGAGAAGCAGAGTGTGGACAGTTTCCCTGCCACTGGAGGCAAAATGATGCTTCTCAGTGGTCTCAACTTCCTCCCTGAGTCCAAGGTGGTGTTCGTGGAGAAGGCCCAAGGTAAGCTTCAATCCGTGACCATGTTTTCTGCCGTTCAATTTCCCTCCCTAATATCTCTTTTAAATGTCTTTCTCCCTCTCTTTTTCCTCGGTCGCGTTTTCTCTGTCTCTCCTCCCGTCAAAATAGAGCAAGACTTGCCAGCGAGCCACATGTGGTGTGCATTAAGCCACTATATTTTTAACCAAAGCGTATTTACATTTGCTGAAGTTTCCATTGCCTGTTCAGCGGTGCTCGCCACAAGTTAAGGAATGAATCACAACCAGGGCATGTGCAACGTCTCTTTCTCTCACTTTCCCTCTCTCCCTCTGTGTCCCTCCCTCCCCGACTCCCCTGCTTTTGACAGTTAACCCTGTCATTCACTGACTTGCACTAAGTCTCTCCTGCTTCCATTCTACCAGACATTCATCCTGACTGTCTGTCATTTGGGGCTATTTCTTTCTTTCTTTTTTGTTCTTTTTTGTCCAGATTTTTCAGCCATGTGTTTCCTACTTGTGTGGGTGGACGCAACATTTAGAAACTCCACTGATCAACTTTGAAGATTGAATGATGATTGTGAACATTTCCTTGATTGCACCCTGTAAATCAAAGCAAAGGTCAAGCACAGTGGTACCTCTGTTAAAATGGGACGTAGTTGCTGCTGCTGCTGCTGCTGCTGCTGGGAAACAAGTAAGGAAAGAAAAGGGAGGAAGATAAAGAATGTTACTCATCTCTGATGACCGTATCCGCCAGTTTATTATTCATAGATAAAACTTCCTTGTGTTTGTGGTGGTCAGACCCTCTGTTACACTGAAAAACACCTACCATCCTTTTCCCATCGCAGGCCAAGGTTACCCAGAGATATTAAACCTTCTGAACCCACAAAGCATTTTATCCCAAAACATGTCCCAAATGACGCCATTTGTTAGAGGCAGAAACTGTAAAACAGAAATAATACATTGACATTTTTAAATTTTCTGACAATCCTTGGGCTAGTCATGCATGACATATAATCCAATTGGAAAAATTAACCAAATCTAAGCTTATAATCGGGACATTTAATCAAAGTTGCATTATTCTACATGTCTCATTTTAAAAATTGCAAAAAATTAAAACTCAAAAACTAAAAAAAATCATAGTAATCTGTGCTCCTTGGTGCAGTTGAGGAGCTGAGTTTGACTCAGCAAGAGACCAAGAGTCTTATGACAAAAATTCAAGGATGTTTCAGCTGAACTAGGCTGAACTGCAGGCTGTGTTTACACCGAGCAGAGAGGAGACAAAGTATGGAAACAGATTAAATATGTGGATGGTAAAATATTTATAGTATGTTGAGCCACCATTGTTTTCTGGTATCAGTAGTACCTATGGATACATGGCAAAATGCTGTTCATATTGATTCTACCTTTTTAAAAATAAATAAATAAATATAGAAATATAGAAATATATACATTCGATTGTAAAATAAATAATCAAAGAAATTCAACTTTTGTGTGTGTGACATATGTCAGCCATACTGCCCAAAACAAACCTTTGCATACTCTCTACTTGGAGCCATGTTTGTATTGTTTCCATAGTGGTGCAGAACTTTATATTGCAGTGAAAACTGATCCCACAATGAGTAGAAATGTGACGGCAGCAAAAACCACCCGGGAGTTCAGAGGGTTAAACAGGACGGTCAAATTGAAAAAACAGACAGAACATACCCCTAATTACAGAATCCGACTTTCCTGGTCTTAGTCCAACCTGTGTGTGCTTGTGGGATACAGATCCATAAAAGCTAGATCCAGACAAACACAGTTTCAAACAATAAAATAATAAAATGCCAACTCAAAGAGCTTTTTTCTCATTTTTTGCAGATGTTTAGACCTTTGTTATCTACAACACAAATGATAACTGACAAAAACATTTATTAGATATTTCTGGACACATTAGAATGTCAAATATTAATTAAATAGTGCCTCATACCATTATTTAAGACAATGTTAGCAACTTTAAAACTGAAAAACAAAAATCTAATTTTGATAAGCAGAATATTTCAAGGTTGTGTTAAATGACTTCATGCCAAATTATATTAAATCCTCATCTTCAAATGTTTTAAATAACTTCGGAATTGTTTACTTGTTAACTTTTTATGCTTGACTGCATCGTCTGATAGACATCATGTGTTTTTTTTAAATCAGAGGCAACAATAGGGTAGAAAACTCACATAGGCGTTGTCTGAATCTTTTAAAAATGCTTGAGTTGTTCCTCACTTCAAAGTTCACTCAAAACTGACACTGAGAAACCCAGTTTGTTCCTCTTTTCTGCCTCGCCTCACCCCGTTTGATTGGTCTACCGTTGAGCACCTCAGGGGTTAAGGAGGCAGCAACAATGGGGTAAGGGGAGGTGGATGAACTTGGTAATATGGGGTCTCCCTCCTCCTGGCTTTCTTTAGTCATGGAGGGGGATCCCCTGGAGAGGAAAGCCCACATATACACAACTCCTTTACCCCTCCACCCCCCGTGCTATTTGAGACCTGTGACCCCTTCTTGCTTCCATTTCCCTTCTTTCGCCCACTCGCCCTACCTCGGTGCTCTGCTTCCTGCTTCTTCTCTATTTTCACTCTTCGTTTTTCTTACCTCTATCCTCGATACCCGTTAAAGACATTAGCCGGCGTGGAGCGCTGCACTAGCGGGATCCCCACACTCGTGCCTGCCATTGACATTTCAGCGGTTTGTTTTCCGTCTCTGTGGTGTCGAGAAGGAGAGTGAGGGAGAGATCGAAAGAGAGATTGTCTGCCTACTACTTAGTCTGCTTTTATGTAAACTTTAATGACCCACTACTTCCAGGGTCTCCTAAGTCAAAAAGCCCATTACAGACAGACCTACACTCTCGAAACACACATGCACACAGGAACACACACATCACTCACTAATGGCAACTATGTATGAGTGTGGAAAAGTACTTATGTCCGAAATATACTGCAAAATATTGTCTTTTGGCATTTTAATCAGAGAATCCTGCTGTTTCATGAAGGTTCTCAGACTAAAGATTGCTCTGATTGTTGATTTAGAAGGACCAAACTGGGATGAGGAAAAAAGAAACCAATAAAATTATAATTATATTACAGATTTATTCTATAACTTTATTTTCCTCTGGAAAAGTTCATGACTAAATGCACCCATGAAATACCGAGCAATGTGCCGCAATAATTACTACTCGCAGACATGTGCTTGCACACGCAGTAGGACACACATGCTCACGTACAGCCAAGCTCTTTGTACGGCACAACACCAATCACTGCTTTCGCCGCAGTGGTGACAGCCATTACGGTTACTGCCATCGAAGGTCAGGATGGCTGCTTACTTTCCAAAATTGACTCCAATAAACACCTTCCAGAAAATTCCGCAAATCCTGAGGAGCAACAGACGTTTTTTGAGAGTTCCAATCCAACTTGTGTGAATAATTATATGCAGTTGAAATCATCCAAGTTGAGTCAGGGGAAGATCACACACAGCACAAAAGCCTATTAGTGCAAATGAGACAGCTATAAATCATAAATACATGCATTTCTCCAACTGTTTCCATTTGCTACTCTTTTTTTTGTTGTTGTTGTTCTTGCAAGATGTAGCTGCTTTTAGTGCAAGCGTATGCAGGTTTTTTTTGTACATGTCAAGTAATTGCTGAACCCTTAAATGATGGAAGCCATTAATATTTGCAAGATTGTCCCAATAAAACCTCTTAGTTGAGGGAAGACAATGGAGGCATCCAAAAACGCCCACTAGTCCTTGGAAAATAAACTTTGCTATTACTCATTTTAGGGACTTGGGCCACTGGCATTATCTTAAAAGTGAGAAAATGATTACTTCAAACATCAAGTAACTTTAATTGAGAGATTATTGAAACTGAAATTAAAGACATAAGATAAAATAAATAACAAATACTGAACATTTATACATCTAAAAGCAGATGGAATTTCTTTCACAGAGGACTGTGTTTGTTGTAGGGTCCATTTTTATTTAATTTTTTTATGTCTGCTTTATATTAATGCAGTGGTTACAGATAAGGGGCCAGTGATGTCATCTGTGAAGCACAGAAACATTTAGATGCTATCACCTTTTGGGAACATGGATAAATGATGCCTTCTTCTAACCTGTTGTAATGTTAAACCATAGTTTCACTCTTTTATCTCTTTGTCTTTCACTCTGTGTTGTTTTGATTGTCGGTCCGTTCCCCTCCCCCCCGAGACGGAGCTCATCGCTGTTGCCACTGCGGGAAACCTTAATGCGCCTTGAAAAATAATTACTTCTACTTTTTAAATGCCACGTCCATCCCCACTGCTCCACTCCGTCACCCACAGGATAACTGATGCAAACCCTGCGTATCCACTGCATGTGCATGTGTGTGTTTGTTGTTGTGTACATGTGTACCCACTGTAGCTGCTAGCCCGCGGGCCTGTTTGCGTTGTTCAGTAGGAAGTGTTTTCAATGAGTCATCCACAAAGGATTCCCTGTAGAGGGGCGAAACGGAAAAGACGAGACCTTCAAGAGAGAAGAGGAAGAGGAGAGGCAGAAAAAAAAGGCAGGACTTCCTTAGAAATCCTGCTTGTGACCTCTTGCACTTAGAGCATAGAAACGATCGTACAACCTGACATGATGTTTACTCTTGTTTTAATGAATAAATGGCAAATTTAGTTTCAATTTCTGCTTCTCCCGATGAAAGATGTATTTTGTGACTTTTTTAGGGGAAACTTTCATTCCATCGTTGGATTAATGAATATTGCCGTTCTTCTGTAGTTTCTCGGTTGATCCTACATCACACAAGGAAGGAAGTGCAAGTTAATTACACTGTAGATAGATAATGATAGACTCGGGAAACCTCACAAGTCCTCATTTGTGTTTCTGCTGCAATTTAGGCATTCTTTGCAACTTTATTTTAGTTTTGAGAAACATTTTTAATGGGCCTCGTCATATTTTCTCCGTGTTGCGGAGAGCTGTGCCCTTTGCCGAGCCACAGTGGAAGCATTTAGGAAAATGTACACCTTCTTCTGCATTGTTGTGCTTGATTCAGTTTTGTCTGTTGTTTTGATTATGTGTTTTGTGTCAGTGTTTTGGTTTGCCCAAACCGCTCTTTTGGCACGGGAGTAGGAAGGCATACCTGGCGCACCTATTGAAGTGTGTGTTCTGGCTTGCCCTGCTTTCCATGGGTGGAATGAGTGCTAGAGGCAGGGAAAATAGAGAGAGACAGACAGACAGACAAACAGAGGGAGAGAGAGAGAGAGAGAGAGAGAGAGAGCTAGGGAAAGCCTACACTCTGACTCAGAGGGGAGGTAAGGGAATTCCCTGGTGAGCTGGATAGTTTTTACATCTGGTCGGATTGGAGCGTTGCCTGGAGCTCAGCAGCACCACACAGCCTGGTCTGCAGCGGGGAGAAGTCTGGTCTTCTCCACCTCTGCTTCAGGCTGGAGAGAAAATTCTGAGCTGCAGTATAATCTGTAACATTAGGACGGCACAGTCCACTACAATACCCTTTGGCTATTATTCTTCTCATGTTAAAACTCCTCAGCAACAGGCTGAAATGTTTAGATTTTCATACCTTCATAGTTCAAGAAACCCAGACCTTGCAGACTATGATCTGAACTCTGAGAGTTCATTCGGAGACTGTTTATACTTCGCTGAACGCCTCTACCTTGGGCAAGTCTAAACATCAGACAAACTGGTCGATGTATTGTACTTCTAGCGGTATGTCTAGACTGTCCTTTGGCTTTAGGCAAGGATAACCTTCATAATCTTGACTCATAGTTTTGGCACTTTGGCAGGATAAGGTCAACCTCCACCCCTGCTTCAGGCGAGAGATTTGAGAAATTATGGTTTAATTAGGATGGTATACTGCACTATTTCAAAATCAATCATTATTTATAACTCCCAGAGGAGCTTAACCTCTCACCCTCCTTTGCCACCCAACATAAAATGAAGGCAATGCACGTCTAAGACCTATTAGAAATGGATGGATCAATAACCAAGAAAAGCAAATAAAAACATACAGTAAAGAAGGGAGAGACGTCGCTGCCCCCTTGAATGAGATTTATTTGGCTGACGTAGCTTGCATTGAGCACGTTTTCAGTTTGTGAATCGGTGAGACTGCACCATTTGGGGCATCAAAGGAATCAGCTGATCACAACAGGAAGATTTCTAGATTGTCCTCTGGCCTCCACCCTTTCTTCAGACTTGTCTGAACGTGTTAGAGCCAGATAAGCCTTTCAAATCACTGAGAGACAATTGTTCTATGTGGGGCAGGTCTGCAAGAATGTCCCCTCTTTAAGATAAGACGACTGATATACCTCAATGAAATGTGGCTCAATACGTGGGTTTTTGTGTGTCACATGGCCGCAAACTGTCATTAAGACTCCTGCTCAAATAACAGAGAAACCACCTACCTCACCTCTCTTCACCACATGTTCAGTTTAAGGGTTTTCAGGCACAGGTCTCACTCTGAACGTGCTAGGTTACGAAATACTGTGCAACACACTATTTGTAGCCACCACATTTGATGCATTCCTTGTTAGCGCTTTGCACTGTAAAATAATTCTCCCAATATACAAGTCTAAATGGTCCTCAGTGCTTTCTCAGAATATATGCCACACAGCTGGACTCTTGATAAAAGGATGAAATTTCACTCAACTGACCGCTGTCCTCCTCAGCGTGCACCGCGCCCTCAGGTCAAGTCAGCTCACGCTTTCCTTGTTATAAACCGAGAATAACTCACTTCCTCAACATAAACCCATCATAAATCTACTGTCAAGTCATAATTTATACAGAAGCCTCTCGATCCGAAGCAGACTCCCATTTCTCTAGTTTCACCAGTTCTCAGATTGGCAGCAGCCAGGTGCTTCAGAGGGGAAAGCAGCTGCACCGCTGGGATCAGTTGTCGGGGAATCCCTTTGGCCTTTTGACTTTGCTTCTCATTGGACGACAAGGTGGTTGGTCTAAAAATGCGTGTAAAATTACTGCAGTGTTTTCATTCAGCATAGCAGAGGGGTTATAAAATGGAAAATAAACTTGACGTATGTAAACAGGAAAGAGAGAAAAATACTCCCTAAAAAAATCATCTCTGGAAAAGAGACATAGCTGCAAAATATGTCTGGATTGTTTCACAAGACGACCTCCGCAATTAAGCATGTGAATCATATTTTCCGTTCTCAAAAATCCTGAAGTGAACTTTCTTTGGTCAGTGGAAGCTGTTGTGCACGACACAACACTTCACCTCTGGCTGTCAATATAAGAAAAAAAAAGCCTCTAAGTGTAATGAGAAGTCAAATACACCACTACTCAGCTGTCTGGAGCTCTGTATTTGGGAAGTTGATTACATGTAAGTGGGTGAGTAGATATAAAACTCATAGAACATTATTGGCTTAAAACTGATAGCTGCCATATGAAATGGTTTTTTTACATGAGGCTCATTAGTTAATTTCGACTAGGTGGAGCTCATAGTCTCTACGTCTTGAGCATTAACCAAATCTCCATCAATCTTAAAATAACAAATGAGAGGATTTGTTTGCATGAAATTTACTACAACAGCAACACTGTTGCCAGGCTGTCACCAGGTGCACAGCATTATGTGTTGTCAAGAACTGAAGAAGAGATGAGTCGAGGAGGCCTCACCCTGCATGTGGTCTAATTGTCTGATGAATAAGTTTGTTATCCTGGTTGTCTGGAGTTAGTCTTTGTGGATCTCATTTGCACAAGTGAGTCATGTAGACTAATAGACAGATTATTGGTTCATCTTTGAGCACAAAGACTAAAAATAAGAGTGTGGCTCTACTCTCCCATGTGTTTGCACGTGTTCGCTAATTTTGGCTAAATTGCAACAGGATTAAACCAGGACTTCTGCAGACACAGTTCCTTTATGCCACCTATTGTTTAGTGCTTCCCCCTCCTATAATTCAAGTTGAAGCCAGAACAGAATGCTGAGGCCAGAACAAAAGGTAAAGGATACTGTGGTTGCGTGTGTGCATGTGTCTGCATCTGTATGTGTGCATTACGCGTGGGTGGAGGTTGCGTGAAGGAGGAGGTGTTGTCGGGAACAGAAGCATTTTGCAGATGTTGCAGGGAAGAAGGAGCGAATGGAAAGTTCTGCGGTTATCAGTCGTACGGCGCTCTTCTCTGACTCGCAAAAATATGCCACAGGTGGCCCCATCCCAATTTAGAGTTTCGCTAAGTCCGTCGGAGCGAGCGTTGAAAAGTTTTGGGGAAACAAAGTGATTTAGAGGCACAAAAGGTGAGACGGAAGATCAGGGGGAAGGTACAAACACAGGAAGAAAAGTTTGAAAAACATGTTTACTAGTGGAGGTTGGGGTTGACGTCGTAGTCTAAGGTTTCCCTCTTGGAGTGTCTCCCAGAGTGGAGGCGGCCGAGATTCCCTCTTGGTTCCCCTAGACGTAACATGAGGAACGCTCATCTCTGTCTGTCTCTGTCTCTCTCTCGTTCTCTGACCTTCTCTCTGTCTGTGCTCGCTCTAATTGCCCTTCCATACTCTTTACAACTTCACAGCATTGCATGTGCATCTCAATCACCTGCCACATGCACATGCCGCTGCCCCGTGGTCGCTCTAGAGGCGTATCCCGGCTACTATTCCCCAACCATCCACTTCATCTCCATCACGGCAAGACACATTTCTCCATATGCAACTCTTATTTCCCCCAGTTCAAATAAGAAAACCCTTATCTGATCTCTTTGCCGTCTGTTTTTCTCTTCCCGTGTTTTAATATGGCCATTTTGGAAAGATATACCTACTGATGTTCACTCTCTGAATAATAAAGCTGACCACCCGCCCCCACTTCCACATCTCACCAATAATATGTCAACCGTGACTGGAATCCTTTATTCTTTCATTCACCGCATGATGTGAAAAACATAATACCTTGCAAAAAAATAAAAAAATCTGGGTTTTACATCTTCCAGAGCTGTAGGTCTTCTGTTACTGGCTATTTGAAAACTGATTCTTCTTATCTTATCTTGTAGCTTTACTGTCTCTACAGTAAACTGTAGCATTTCAGTTGGAGTCACAATGCAAGCTTCCACCCAGGAACATATAGTAGCAGTGCCACAGTGCCATGCTGTTGCCTCACATGGTGTGCCACTGACACAAAGGCTGTTCTGTGTCACTTCTATTTCTGACAGCCCTAATGAGTCATCAGTTCTGGGAAAAAAAAAAAAAAAATGGCACTGTGGTTGGTGCTGATTGCCCTAGCAGAGCCCAGAGCGTCTGTTCTCAAAAAGGTGTGGCATGAAATCACAGAGAAAACGCAAAGAATGTGAGCTGAGCTTCTGCAGGCTCCCACCAGCTGCAGTAGCTCACAGGCCTTTTATTGCATGGCAGCAAAGGGAAACCTCCTTACCACAACAAGATGGAGATGAAAAGGAAGAAATGAAGAAATGAAAGCTGAAACTTTTTTTTAAGCATTTCACAGAGGAGTTTTGAATAGAACGAAGGGGAGGCGATATACGTAAGGGAGAAAATAGAAAAAAGAAATCTCATCAAAGATTTAATGAGGGGACAGAAATAATAGAAAACTTAATGAAAAATTACACTAAAGTGGAGAATAAGCAGAGGCAAACTTGTTAGTGTCACTGACTTAAGACATGACTGACAATTTTACAGATTTAAGTTCAAAATCTGAAATTTTACTTGTCAGGAGAAGCAACTTTGCAATATTCTCTTGATAAATGATCAGATAACTGATTATTTAACCTTTAACTGACCTGTGTTTCAGTACAACACCCAACCAAATGCAAAACACTAAATCCACCCCCAGAGCTTACGTGTCTCTTTCGCTTATATGAGTATCATCCTCAGATTAGAGCCGCCCACGTCCCTCTAATCTGTGTGATTATTCAGTTCATAATGACCCATTGTGTTTCATTTTGTCAATAGATGGGCATCATCTTTGGGAGACAGAAGCCAAAGTTGACAAGGACTCCGTCAAATCTGTAAGTGCACCTCTCCACTGTGACTTATTTGAAATGCTCCTGCCGTCTTCTGTCTCACCTTCCCTTGAGACTTTCTCCTTTCCTCTCTCAGTCGCCTCCTCATCTGTCCCCTGTAATGATGTAACCTTTGCTAAGGCATTACAAATTGCAACATAGACAATGATGATTAGCCGATGCAATCCTGAACGGAATTTTCACAAAGTCTCCCTATCCTCATGAAGGTAAACACAGTCAGGCTCCCATATAGTTTTTTGCATTTATTGGACGAAAAAAACACACATGGGTTACAAAATGGAAGCACAAGCATGAATGGACAAACACACACACACACTCACACCACAGCGGTCTCGGCATAGCCAGACGTTTAGTTCACAGCAAAGTGTTGTGGTGTGATGAATTGAGCTTAAACACCTCGTCTGCGCTGGGATCCTGCAGCCAAGAGTGGCTCACACCCCTGCTTTTCTACCTGCTGCTTTTCATGAAGGCCGTAATGAGAAAATAAACCAGCACGCTCATTTTACTGATGCTCAGTCACACATTCGGATTGTGTTAATATAAAACTGACCGTAAGGAAATCGTCAACAGAGGGAATGAAGCAAATGTTGTTCTACCAGAAAGCTGCTCGCGCTCTGGAGTTAATTAAGATTTCATCGAGATTTGCTAGGTCTGTGGATAGTTAGATACAGGGTCCGCAAAAATCAGTTCGCACACACGCATTTTGTCATGAACTGCTGATGGCTTTCATTGGTTGCATCTTACGCCGGGTCAAAAATAGACTTTGTGCATCTAAATGCTGCAACATGAGGATGTTTTTCTTTTTGTTGTTGCTGTTATTTGACTCAGGTAAATGGCTTGGTTGCATCAGAGGGGTAAATATGGACTCTGATGTCTAATTGCTCTGTAGGGCTGGCTGATGTGCTGTGGCTGGAGTCCCAGATGTTGGAAAATTAGCGGGCGTGCAAGGCTCAGCCGGGGGTGATGCTTCGGGGAGGCAGCGCCGATAAAACGACAAATACTGCGCAGTGTTTATTTTGTAGATCTGACAAACAAGTAGAGAGAGACAGCAAGAGTGCACTGGCCTTCTACTTTATGTCAGCTGCAACCAGACTGCTTTAAAGTGCTCCAGTCTGCCTGCCTGCCTGACTGAGTTTTTATTGCCGTCCAGAGCGTGCTAACTTTCGCTGGTCTGGATGCAGAGGGAGAAAGTCATGTGTATGCACACACTCACTCAGCCACCTGCATGTTTTCTTTGTCATCATCTGGAGGGCAGACTGGGGCTGAGCTCTCCTCCTTTACCTCCCACCCCGTCCCTCCTCCCACCTTCCTCCATGTGTGGTGATTACCGATAAAAACCTGCTTCCTGTCAAAGTTCCCCATTCTGGCTTGTTTAGACCCACATGAGAGTGACAGCTATCCCAGGAATTAGACACAAACACTCAGACAAATTTCTCCATGTTCCCCTGTCAGAAATAAAGCAGTCGAAAGTTCACATCCGTCCAGACTTGCCGTGGTCTAGTGGGGTGGTGGGGGTGGAGGAGGAGGAGGACAGGCAAGCCTCCCTTTAGGAAGGTACGGCTGTGCAAACAAATAAGCCTGTTACCTCTCTTCTCTTGCGGTGCACGGGGAAGTAGCTAAAGCCCAAGGGTTTTCCTCTGAGACAAACACGGGCACTGGACCAACCTCATGGGCACTGCTGCTGACTCTTCAGAGTCCAGACGAGCTCATTTAGACCAGTCCAGCCTCTTGGAAACAGTACCCTAAATGCAGGCCAGGTGCAAAATAAACATAGCTGTTGATTAAACTTAAACCCCACAGGCTCATAGTCATTATAAACTCCTGCAGCGCAGCCAATCTTTCAAATACACAGAACTTCATTTTCAATTCTAGTGGCAAGCCCAAGACTTCGAAAGACACGAAACATCTCGGGCCAAACTCTGGGAAAAATTCATCACCTAAATTAAGAATGATTTTTCAAACCTAATTGCTAATTAAGGGGAAATAAAAGAAGCCACAAAGTGACTCTTTTCTGTTTCTTTAAGCAAGCGTCTCATAATGGTGAAATACTGCTCTGTATCTTGTCATTTGTATTTTAGAGTACTCTTGTTGTGGAGATCCCACCATACAGGAACCAGAGAATATCCAGCCCGGTGCAGGTTAACTTCTACGTCTGCAACGGCAAGAGGAAGAGGAGCCAATACCAGCGCTTCACCTACCTGCCTCCAAATGGTAATCGTCATCCCCACCTCTTTATTATCACTGACAGTGAAAGACTTGTACTCTTTGCGCAAGCTGCACACTTTTCATTCCTCATTTAGAATATTTCTTTAAGTCCTGACATCCATCCACTGTAGTTTACCTCAGCCGTCAACATGCCATGTGAAATTTGTGGCCGTTTTTTGGAATTTTTCTTTTTGACGTTCTGCCTGGCAACACTTGGCTGTAGCCCGTGAGTGAGAGCAGAAGATGTGAGGTGTGTTTATTCTGTAGTGAGACCGCGTTCCCTCGGCATGAGGTGTACCTGCTGAGTGACAGAGCCTCCGAGCACTGTTGATGCGGAGAAGTCAATCTCCCAGCGACCTGACTTTCACACCCCGCTTCACACAATGCTCCCCGCCCCACCTCCACCGGTTCACCAACACACCTATGAACCAATAAATACACACACACACATATGTCCAACAGCTAGTGCTTAACCCGTCATTCATGTAGCAACCTGAAAAACCCAGGAATACCTCTCTGTGTGTTTATCATGTGCCCCTGGCCTCTGTGTTTATAGATGGCTTTCACGTTGGAATTTGAAGAATGTATTGGTGAGAGTTTAGAGAAGAGTTCAGCTTCAAAATCACGTTGTGAGTTATTTACTTTTCACAGTAGGCACAGGTGAAATACCAGCTTCGGTATCGGCCTTCAGCATCCCACTACAATGCTGCTATTTTATCATGTATGTATCCAGAGAAAGGTGACTAAGCATGTTTGCTTTTCTTTCACCAAGACAACACTTCCCATTTATGGTGCCAAAGTCTTTTACTGCTGGCTGCTCAGAAGCTGTAAACAAAGTTAGTTAAGTTCCGGCTATAGAAACAGTATAAGATGCTTCAACACCCACAAATTTGCCCACCGTCATCGTCCATGCAGGTTTAGGGATTCCAACCAGCAACCATGCATTTACAAGACCTGCATGCCCCCCTCCTGTGATAACCAGCGAAATCCATTAGATCAAAACAATGGTATCTTGTTTTCATTGATCAGTGCCTAATGGGTCTAATGCTTCTGGGATAGCGAGCGTTGTGTTTTAAGTCTACAGCTGTTAATAAGATGTGACATTTAGATTATCAGCAGATGCATTTATGGCCACAAGAGATAAGTGATCAGGATTCTGGACGAGGCTGTGAGAACAAGTAGAGCGCAACCCCTATTTGGAGATGCCCGATTATGTGATGAGCAAGTGGATTGTGGGTAACCGGACGGTGTGGGACAAGCAAACGGTGGCCATATATAGCCTATCCATTCCGTATACTGTGTAGAAAGAGACACAGAGAGACAACAGAGAGACGTAGGGGGGCTTCTCAGCCACCACTGTGCATCTCTTAAGTCATTTCCCTAAGCGTAAACACAGCTCTAATGAAAAGATGACTTGTTGTGCTCTCTCTTTTGCTGCCAAGTAAACCACAAGTACAGTGTGGACCACACAAGCGGGGGCCAACGTCTTCTCAAAGAACCATAATTACCTCACAAGTGTTGCAGCCAAAGAGACTGTGAATCACAAGCTATTGAGTTCTATTTTGGGATTTACCACGCTTTTGAAGGCACACATTAAGAAACACAACATTGCATATTTCCAAACACAAATGCTCAGTATTTAAATCACTGGGTCGAGTGTTACAACGCCGCTGCATAACAGCTGAAGTAGGAGTGTGCCAGTTGCGGAAGCGATCCCAGGCTGCAGCAAAACACTGCGATTCACTTGTGAAATAACAACAAAGCAAGAGCTGCAAATTTCTACTACTCCTAACACTTTCTATACAATGTGAATGAGATTTAATGGCTGTGATATAGGCACATTTATCATTTCAGGGTAGTTGTAGTAGTAAATGTAGATAAAAACATGGGTAAAAATGTGGGTTTTCCTTGTTTTCTTTCATGCTAACCTGCATAATCAGTGCTCGCTGATATAAAAGAAGATTATAATTAGCATAAACAGACCCTGTGTAGTGATGATGACTGTAATAGTTTCAATACAGCAGCAAAGAATGAGGAAATCCTACTGAAGCTGTTTGCTTTTGAGGGTTTCAGTGTGTGTGTCAACAGTGAGTGAAACAACCAACACTGTGGCAGGTACGCAGGGTGGGCTGGGGAGGAGGACACCCACACACGCACAACACTCGCTGTTGTCAACACTTTTTTTTTTTTTAACTCGCTTGTATGAAAAGACTCTTCCGGCCTTATGTCCCACTTCAAGCACAGTTGCGGTCACTGACGTTGTTTAGAGAGAACATTTCTTTCACACTCTGGTGTCTGCTCATCTATAAAAAGGCAAACCCAACCCTTAAAATAGCCCAACTTGTTTGAAACAGCGGAAGGATGAAGCAAACACTCTCTGGGGCACAGATGCTAGTGAAAACCACCTTTATTTTCCATTCAGGTCATGTGACCATCCTGTTGCTCTTTGACGCTAATGCAAATGTGTTTGGTGCTTGCTGTGGCTGAACATCAGTGCCTGCATTGAAACTAAACACATCAAAAAAGGTTTCACATTGCTGTATGTACCCCCCCCCTCCACACACACACACACACACACACACACACACAAAACTGAATCAGACTTATTATTTCAATAGATTGCATTGTTTCAGACATGTAAGCAGACTTTTATCTCCTCTCAGCCTTGCCCTGCCTACACTATAACATATTATTATCAGATGAAGTCTGCAGAAGAAACATAGCTGTTCTCACTCATGCTTAGCTGACAGACAAAGATAAGCTTCGATGATATGAGATGAGAGGTGCTGCAGATCTGTTGAAAACTGTGCCAAACCAATGCATGGTGAAGTAAAAACAAGATTCAAGGGAGAAAAATGCAGTATGTCAGAAGTATGCATGAGGCAGAGCAATCGGTCTATGCTGAGTTTGCACCATCATAAGTCAAACGAAAATCGGATTTGAAGCATAACACATAAATGAATGAATGGCTGTAAATTAATAAATAAACTAAACCGAATAAAGCCAACATCATTATAATAATGTTAGAAAAAGTGTCGTCTACAGCATTTTATTCCTAACAAGTAGTACGGCCAATTGATCATTGCATGGTCAGATGCTCTATATAACATGCAATGTGGTTGCACAGTTGGGTCCTTGGCTAACTGTATACTATAGACTGTATGTAACCAGGTAAACATTAAAGGACAATTTGTGAAGTAATTAAAAAATTGGACACTCAAAATGTCTTCACTTGACTGATTTTCATGGTGTAAGTTGAACAAAAAACTGTTCAGCAGATCAAAGACCTTAAACTTTAGCCTGCCAGAAACACAAAGGATCATTTATTTAGAATTCATTCAATTACATACATAAGAAGAATACAAGCATTTTCAGCTCCGGAAGAACTGAATACGAGGTGAATCTACCTTCAGCCATGAATCAAGCAGTCATTTACTGTTCAGATATACCATCAGCAGCATTTGCGGTTTCCAGCCTAAGTGCTTGTCTGCGATGTTGTTGAGATGTACATATGGCGCAACTGTCGTTGTCTGGCCCCCAGAATGAGTCTTGCTTTTCCAAGCTCCCTTCCAATCATTCTTGCGTGAGTAGAGACGTGACGTGTTGCTCTTCAAATAAGAAACAGTTCTCACCAACCACATTAAACAACAAACGCTGAAGAAAAGTGCTGGCAATGACCAAAGCTCGGGCGAAGAACTTCTCGGAACCCCTTTATTTTTACAGGCCGTTTGGAGATTCCTCTGTAATATCAAGTTCTATTCTTAAGGCAAACGGGTGCCTACTCCCCCGTTGAATTGGTTTGTGGTCGGAGCTGGAGAGGGGAGAGCCAGAAACATGTTCTGTGACACATACAGGAAAAGTTAATGAACCACACATTGTTCTTTTTT